GTATTATATATACCTACTTCTCTATTTCTTAGTTTAAATAAATTTGCGCTACCTAATTCTTTAAATATGTGCTACCTAAATAACAATCTTGATGTCTGAGTATTATCATTTTGTCAATCATGGATATTTTTATTCAGCATTTTTTTTTCCTGTCAGTGCATTATAACAGTTCATTATAGAGAATGGGGTGCCTCCCAAGTAGTTTGTCCCAACATGGTGTGAATGCAGTCATTTGCATTGCAGACTTTGGAACATCATAAAAATGAAATCGCCAGCTTGTTTGTTCTTTCTGGCAGTAGCTTATTAGCAAGTTTGGGTTTTAACCAGAGGTGGTACATCTTAAAGAGGAACTAAACTCCCTCTTTTAAAGTGTGTCCCATACCAGAGAGTATCTTGCATACTAGCAAACCATACTTTCCAAGGTCTCAAATCTTACCATTTCAAATTAGAATGTAGATATGTACATTCCTAGTCTCTGCTGCATTCACAGCATCTTTACTATGTCAAGGTCTGCACAGTGCCTTGCCAAAACGACATGATGGCCTGTTGGCTGTTTTCCTGTGTGACCACCACTTAAAGTGCACCCAGTAACAACATTGGAGAGAGAGGCTTGGTTCCTTTTTACTGTGCATATGTTGACTTTGTTGCTGGTCCATAGTGGACAGGAGAATCTATGCAGAAAGTGGTGCTGGGATTCATTCAAGATTGCACCAACCTCTGTGGGAGAAAGTTTAGTGAGAACTGTGGTCTATTGTATGGCATGGCTATACATCTTTATGCTTCCAACATTTCTTCATAGTTTAGGGCAGTGTTTCTCAACCTTTTTCAGTCAATGCATCCTTTAAAATTATGGACAGTCTTGAGGCAACCAATTCTAAAATGTAAAAAACTATTCTAAAATAGTTTTATATAACGCAGCACATCCACACATGGACACCCAATGCTAGAGGTAATTTTATTCTTCCAAATCAAATACATTTTTGCATAGTGGTCCTGACTAGTATTAGTATTTCTCTGAGGATTTCTCCAGCAACTGCCAGCCTCCTTATCAACTGATAATGTAATTGGTTGTCAGGAGGCCGGTGGCTAGAAGGTTGTAATGGCACACAATGAAAACCTGTGGCTTTGTGTAACTAAAAGGCAGGCTTGTTCCACCTGCTGGTTTGTAAATAAGTTTTGAGCAACTTTTAGACATTTTGCCTGGGCACACTGGTTGAGAGAGGCTGGTTTAGGGGACATATAATTTCCAATTGATTGATGGTGGTAAACTGCAGAGTTCCAACTTAACAAGCAGGCCAAGTGCAATTTTCATGTTTTGCTCACTCCACTGGTTTGCATGCTAATACTTAGTACATCCAGGCAACAATCATTTTCAGACATTGTCTCCAAATTGTGCTCTTGTTTTTATGGCACACATAGAAGCTAGCTGAAAATGATCCATGTTCTATAGAGAATATTGCGAACATATACTTTAAGCAGAGCAAAACCATGATTATTTTGAGATGTTACTTTGGAGATATTCTATTATGATGTTCTTTACCAATAACTTCAAGCCATACCTCTCATTTCTTTTTTTTTTTTTTTTTTTTTTTTTTCTTTTTTCTTTTCGGTCTCCCAGGCATCAATACAGAAAAGAGTCTGGCACAAAAAGGAAACGCAAAGACAATATGTGAACTTCAAGAGATTACTTATCTGATACTGTGTGTATTTAAATGTGATGTGGATATTATGCAGTTTGCATCCTTGTCTAAAGTGTTTTGAAATCAGAATTCTCCTGCAGATTCTTAAATTATTTTCTTGTCAAGTATCTGTACATTTTGTGAAAAAGTAAGCATTTATAAATAAGCTTGATATTTTGTTTTCTAGAAAATTGAAAATTGACGTTTCAGTTTTGTTTCACAAAGATGTTTAAAGATACTTTTTTACAAATTTGGGGGGGAGAAATATATACAGTATCTCACAGAAGTGAGTACACCTGTCACATTTTGTAAATATTTTCTTTTCATGTGGACAACACTGAAGAAGTAGTGAGTGTACAGCTCGTATAACTGTAAATTTGTTGTCCCATCAAAATAACACAGCCATTAATGTCTAAACCGCTGGCAACAAAATTCAGTACACCCCTAAGAAAAAATGTCAATATTTTTTGTGGACACTTATTTTCCAGCAGTGCCTTAACTCTCTTGGGCATAGAGTTCACCAGAACTTCACAGGTTGCCACTGGAGTCCTTTCCATGACAACATCACAGAGCTGGTGGATGTTAGAGATCTTGCGCTTCTCCACCTTCCATTTAAGGATGCTCAATAGGGTTTAGGTCTGGAGACATGCTTGGCCAGTCCATCATCTTTACCCTCAGCTTCTTTAGCAAGGCAGTGGCGGTCTTGGAGGTGTGTTTGAGGTTATGTTGGAATACTGCCCTGTGGCCCAGTTTCTGAAGGGAGGAGATCATACTCTGCTTCAGTATGTCACAGTACATGTTGGCATTCATGGTTCCCTCAATGAACTGTATCTCCCCAGTGCTGGCAGCACTCATGCAGCCCCAGACCCACCACGCTTGACTGTAGGCAAGACACACTTGTCTTTGTAGACATCTGGTTGCCGCCACACACCATCTGAACCAAATTAGTTTATCTTGGTGACATCAGACCACAGGACATGGTTCCAGTAATCCATGTCCTTAGTATGCTTGTCTTCAGCAAACTGTTTGCAGGCTTTCTTGTATATCATCTTTAGAAGAGGCTTCCTTCTGGGACAACGGTCATGCAGACCAATTTGATGCAGTGTGCGGCGTATGGTCTGACAGGCTAACCCCCCAAGCCCTTCAACCTCTGCAGCAATGCTGGCAGCACTCATACATCTATTTCCAAAAGACAACCTCTGGATATGACGCTGAGCACGAGCACTCAACTTCCTTGGTCGACCATGGTGAGGCCTGTTCTGAGTGGAACCTGTCCTGTTAAACCGCTGTATGGTCTTGGCAATCTTCATATAGCCTAGGACATCTTTTACGTAGAACAGTTTGTTTTTCAGATCCTCAGCGTTTTTTGCTATGAGGTGCCATGTTGAACATCCAATGACCAGTATGTGAGAGTGATAACACCAAATTTAACACACCTGCTCCCCATTCACACCTGAAACCTTGCAACACTAACAAGTCATATGACACCAGGGAGAGAAAATGGCTAATTTGGCCCAATTTGAACATTTTCACTTAGGGGTGTACTCACTTTTGTTGCCAGCGGTTTAGACATTAATGGCTGTGTGTTGAGTTGTTTTAAGGGGACAGCAAATTTACACTGTTATACAAGCTGTACACTCACTACTTTTACATTGTAGCAAAGTGTCATTTCTTCAGTGTTGTCACATGAAAAGATATATTTACAAAAATGTGAGGTGTACTAACTTCTGTGAGATACTGTAGATGTTTAAGCAGCAATATTGTTCGAATGAGTCCATGGGGTCAAGGTAATGATTGCTTGTGTCAGACTTTTCCAGATACAGATGGTTTGATTAAAGCTAGCATCGGTTAGTTTTGAGCATTGCTTGCAATTATTTGGGCGTTTCTAGGATGGTGGGGGGCAGTAACCAGTCCCTCAAGAAACACTATCCCGGATTTTATTTTGGACTAAAGATCAGTTGGCCTAAATTTTGTTGATATTAAGACATTGGGAGGGCTACAGTGGTTCAGCAAAGGATAAATGGGCAGGAGTGTAGTAAAAGTTGAGTGCATTTCTGGCAGATCTACACCTTTTTATTTTTCTATATTTACAGGGACTTTAAGAGGGATAAACATTGGGAAAATGAGCATGTATGAGAGACTGCATTCCTTCCCCTCCCCCCCCATATCTTGCTCTTTAACCCCTTGCAAACTGTATAGCGCATATATGCATCAGCAAGGAAGGTGGGCTTTAATTTAACACTCAGGCAAGGTTGTGTGCTGAATGCATGTTCGCTGCGAAGGATTGCAACCCAACCATGTGACTGCTGAGAGAGCCTATCGCATGATACAGAAGCCACAATGGCTAATGGAAATGAAAGGGATGCCATTATAAAAGCATGCAGATCCATCACCATCTATGACTGAATTTTGTGCATTAAGCTTTTTGCTGCATAGTCTACAGTATAAAGTGAGTTTTTTAAGCTGCTTGTAATCACCACCAGAGGAGCACAATCAGACTGTAGTCACTCCATAATAGAAAATGCTCAGACTCCTCAGTCATTCTTAATGCAGGTTTTAAAGTTGTTTCCAATCTTTTCAAATATTCAGCTTTTATTAATATGATAGAGCTGATATGAAATCTATCATATTAACGCTGATTTTGTGGAAAAGGCTGAAAAGACATTTTTGCTTGGTCTAAACAGTTAGTTGAACGCCAGCACAGCAGGGTCAGCTCAGATAATTTATATGGCAAGACTGATCTGCAGAAATGCATACTATACAATACAAACAGTATTATGAAAATGTATTTAATATAGATAAATGAAATGCACACAAACCTGACGTAACGTTATACATATTTGCATGCAAGCTTTGTCAGCTGTATAGGAGGTCTCCTTGAAAACAGAAGGCATTATCTGTATATTCCTGTGCTACTAAACTCTGCTGCAATTTGGCCAAAAGCATCTTTTTGCACATACATCCTAAACAAAGTATAAAATCTCCACGTGCATTAACGTTCTATTTCCAACCCAGGAAAGCCCTGCACAGACCAATTCTCTGAAGAAGTGCTCAAATAAGTGTTACTTGCAAGGTCTAGACTGTGTATAAACACTGGGGGAGATTTAATAAAACTGGAGCACTCAGAATCTAAAGCAACAGTGCATGGTGGCCAATCGGCTTCTAACTTCATCTTGTTCAGTTAAGCTTTGACAATAAAACCTGAAAGCGGATTGGTTTCTGTGCAGAGGTGCACCATATTTTGCATGCTCCGGTTTTAATAAATAATCCCCTTATAGACCAGTGCTATAGAAAAGACAATATTCTGTTAAAGGTGAATATTTATGGATGGGATTCGGTCTGTTGGTTAACAGCATCAAACACGTGCATGTTTAAGGAAGATGGTTTGTTGGTGAAGGGGTGCCACTGTCCCTGAATGCTGGGGTTGTCTGTGTGTTGAGGTTTTCGGATGCGAATAATCTCCAGCCCAGACTGGTTGGCCATTTTCTGCACCAGCTCTAGTATTTGCTCCTTGGTTTTGCTGTTAATGGCTTCTTCTCTGACAGTCCCATTCACTGAAAGTAAGGAACAAAAGCATTTAATATTCATTCTAGAATATTAATCGTTTCAGGGACTTGCCACTATAATAATGATAAATGGTCACATACATCAATAATTCTTGACTAAAAATGGTTGTATCAAAGGCAGCAGATTTAAATGTTCATTTTCCAATCCAGGTTTAATTCTAGTTGGTGGCTATAATGCAGTCAGTGTAGATTTTAGGGCCAGTTCAGACCACATACAATGTTTCCCCCCCTGAAAGTATGGTACAGTGGTTCCAATGGCATAGTTCGCCTCTGCATTTCAGTACCAGATAAAAATATTACATGTTGCTTTTTTTTTTTTCCCCCTGCACAGAACTGTACTGGAATGCATCAGACCCCAGTACAGTGAAAAGCAATCACAAAAGGAAGAAAAATGTATTTAACCTCCCATTATCCTCTTCTGCTAACATGCAAATCTGGACAAGATGGAGGATAGAAGGCTGTATCTGGACACTGATAGGCTTATATTGATGGTTCAGGACCCTCCCAACAAAGACAATGTGGCAACATGTGGAGAGAGATCGTTATTTCTTCCCAGAGTTACCCAGTTAAAAAAAAAGCCAAAACAGGATTACTTTGATAAGGAACTTTTCTCTGTAATTTCTTTGTGCATTACGATTGTCCCCTCCACAGAAATCTGAGCGTTATGTGCAGTCTGGAGAAAGTTCTGCCCTCTCCTAACCCTCCACACTGTCATGTTATCCGTGAAAGTAAAATTTCATATGCATTTTGATTACCTTGCCATGTAGATATAAAGTGAAGAATTATCCTCTTATGTATCCTACGAAACATAAAATGTAATATATACATAGAAAACAGACACTGGTGCAAACAGTGAGTACAGGCCACTGCAGCCATTCCTGTCAGGGCTTTTTCTGCCCACTTTTAACCCAAGACATCAGTTGCCCATATGGGGGTTTCTGCACTTGAACAAAAATACTTCTATCTCCTAATAACCCCCCCAAAAAAAGGAAAAACAGCATCTGAAATGCAGGCAGAAACATCCAGAACTGATCTGGGGGATGTTTATGTGGTATGAACTGACTGTAAAGGACACTTGTCATGAAGAATGCAAGACGACAGCCATTGCTGATGTTGACCTGGAACAAGAAAACTGATAGAACATTTTTACTTTTCTCTGACCTTTATCTGCTATATATTTTTTACATGTGAAACACAACAGCAAACAGTGGCCCATATGGAATACATTTTGTTGGCAATCACCATTTACTTTGTATTCTAGCTAATTAGTTACTTAAAACATACAATTCTCCCTGGTACTTGCACCCTCAACTTATGCAGAATGACTAAATGTCCTATCACCAGTGCTTGTCACACAAGTATGCGATGCTTGTGGGGCCATCAAAGTGAATCTTTCATGCATAAACCACAAGTTCACTTTATAAAATACATAAATTAAATTAAAGAAAAAAAGTTGTCAATACTAAACATCCAAAGATGATGATTTATGATGTTTCTAGGAGTTAACACTACAGCCCATCCTAAACTCCCCAGTGGCTCAGAGTGCAGCAGTTAAGATCTCCAGTGTCTGACATGCAACGTTCCAGTCACAACTACTGTGCTCCAATTGACACTGCTCACATGGTAAGTAATGTTGGTCATTGATGTTATGTGCACAGGGGGATGTGTAGGACTGCTGGAGATCCAGACCACTGTGCTGGGTGAGAGCAGAGACCCTATCTTCAGCAAACTGCCAGCATAAGGGTCTATGCACAGGAGGGGCAGAAAATCTAGACATAAAAAATGCTCATATTGCACAAAAGTAAAGGAGAGTTTATTTGCTTTTATAGCCATTTTTTTTCTCCAAAATATTCCCCTCTGCTTATTTTTCAATGTACACTTAAAAATGGCAAGCACTTCTAAATGCCACGTTTATGCACGTTAAGCATTTTTCTGCACAAAAGCTCCTCTCAAAAATGCAATTCTAAAGAGGTTTTTCTTTCTGCCTCTAAATGCTTTGAAAATATGCCTGCAAACGTCCTAATATGTATGGACACAGACCAACAAAGAGTCACTTCTACAGGCTAAAGAAAAAAATAGAAGCAACAATAAGCAGCATTTTTAAGCACATTGTGCATGGACCCTGAGACTATAGCATGCACCTGCAGATTTTGAAACCTACTTTACTTTTTTAGGGAGCTTTAGTGCCTCACAATAAAATGAATATTCCGCTGGGCTTTAATAAAAGAAATGTCTGTTCAAAAATAACATTGATGGTAAAATTATTGCAGGGTAAAATAGCATATTGAAATAAGTTGTGACTAGGTAAACTAAGCCTTGGGAACAGATCTAAATGAACAAAATAGGAGCTTGCCCTTATGTTGTAGATTAGATGACAGAAAAGAGTACTTATACGTATTGATGGACCCAAGGTGAATAAAGATTTGGAAGATTATTTGTTTATCCCAAAGACTATACAAAAGTGAAGGAATAGGCGCTATGTACAGAGAGAAGAAAAGTTTACCGTCAGTATAGGAATGTAATCACACAATAACAACGGTAAATTTAACAGATTAAAAATGGTTTGGTTTCAATCAGTGGAACTTTGACAACTGCCTCTGGTGAACAAGATCCCACTGAGTGGAAGAATTGCCCATAGAAGTCTAGAACTGCTTGTCATGACTTTCTCTAGACTGGCTCTATCATAAGACAGTGATTTTCATTGACAATTATGTAATCATAAACAATGTATTTATTACCAGTACTTACAGTATTCCCCCACCAGTTTGGGTATTCTGCATGGCTTGGGATTCACATACAGAACAACACTGGGATTCTGCTTGGCAAAGTCAACTATCTTTTCTTCAATAAACTCCCTGAAATCAGAAGAGAAAGACATATAGGCAATTAAAGGAGTTTCCAACTTGACCAATCAATTATCCAGACTCACTGTACTTCCTAAACTTATAAGACAGAGGTCCTAAAGCAGAACTCCAGTAGGCAGCAAGCACCGTTTTTTACACCCCACCCCTTCCTGCTTCACACCATTCTCCCTTATTTTACCATTTATCTGAAGTTTTTTGCCTCCAAACTGGAAAGAAAGAAAAAAAAAAAAGGCTCTCAACCATCCATGCTTCTTTTTCATTGCTCACTGGCTAAAAGGAGGTAGAGTCAGTCAGCACATCACGACAGTTATGTTCCACCTAAACAACTGACATTTTGCAGCCATCCAAATTAATACACGTAACTTTGGCTAAAGCTAGGTTCACAATTGATCACACTTGAGCAGCTGATTGTGCACTGCAGCCAAATTGCGCTGCTCTGTAGAGACGCCCCAGCCCTACACATCTCAACCCATGGCACGTTTGCGGAAAACCGCTATTGCAACAGCACCATGCAATTTCCTTGCAACCATTTCTAAAAGAGGTGCAAGCACTTTTTTTTGCGTGAAACACAGGCATGGCAGCCCATTTAAACGAATGGGCTGCCATGCCAGTGTGGGCCACGAAACCAGACAGATGTGAAAAAACTGTAAATGTAAACAGTATGTAATAGAAAACCACAAGCCGTGTGTCAAATGTCACACTTCACAGACATAAGATGCTACTCCGAGTTCCACTTCCATACTCCTTACTGCTCATGTAAAAGTGGATAATCCAGCACACATCACCACCTAATACATTGATGACGCCAAGGACTTATTCACGTTATCCGCATGGAGCTGCGCAGGTCAACACTAAAGCTGGCCATAAATGGGTAGAATTTCAAACAGATTATGGGGAACAGAAGGTTCTAAGTTTGTTTTTCCAATCATTAGTGGGGTCAAACCAACGTTTGTTTTCAACCACAGTGACGAGAAAATTTGAAGGAGCAGGATGGGAAATATTTCTCGAATGAATGCATGAATTTCTAACAGTGTTTCTAACTAGTTTTAATTTGGTAGTCTATTTATTCCAAAATCAAATGTTAAAAGCAAACAAAATCTTTTGAACCATATTCAAATGTTTTGAGAAAATTCTGGGAATTTTCATACAAAAATTTTCCTAAAAATGTTTGTTTGAAATTCTATCCAGCTATGGCCAGTTTTAGAAAGCATTTTCTAAGAGTCCAGTTCATACTATAACACTAGTTGGGTGTGGTGCACTGAACAAAAATATTTTTATGCAGTGCAGCTCACCACGCTGCAGAGTATGGACTTGAATGAAGTGTAATTTTGAGTCAATAACCAAAGTTTAAAAAAAAGATGAAAAACTGTAAAGAGTGTGATGCATTGTAATGTTGTAATGACGCACTGCACCACTCCTACACAACAGACACCAGGACACGGTGTTTTAGCATGACAGTTGCGAAAAAGCCCCGAGTCAGTTGTGCTCACTGAGAAACAATTCTGCATTCACACATACAATGCAATGCCATACAGCAGAGTTCTGCACTCGTATAGAAGGGAGATCGTGGCACATGTGTCCCACTACATACCCTCTGATCTGAGCAACATACCAACTGCTACAGAGGCATCCGAGTCCTATTTATTTATTACAGGTACTTATATAGTACCATCAATTTACGCAGCGCTTTACATGTCTGTATATATACATGCATATATACATCCAAAGACTAAATCTGTGTCCCAGTCTACTTGTCCCTCATGACAATCTACTTGTCTTGATGACAAAAAAATAAATTTTAACCAAAACCATATTTAAATCTGCTTTAAGTAATGTCTGGGAATTTTAAAAAACAAAAGGGGCTTTATGGTGACAAACATTTCATATTTTTATAACTGTGTATCTCCTCCTCATCTGCCTGTCTCCAGCACCGCCCCCTGGGGACTATCAGGGAGGAATAGAGACCAGTGTAATGAGAACCGATTGAGTACTCATCAGGAAAGGGGAGTGTTGGGCTTATCATTTAGCCCTTTCACTGCCAGAGCTGTTTTTGCACACGTTTAACCACTTGCCCTCCAGAGGATTTACCCCTCTTCTTGACCAGGCCATTTTTTTGTGTTACTTTAAAGGACAATTGCGCGGTATGCAACACTGCACCCAAATGAAATTTACTTCCTTTTTTTTTCCCCACAAATACAGCTTTCCTTTGGTGTTATTTGATTGCTTGTGCGTTTATTGTTTGTGCTATATAAAAAAAAAAAACTATATTTTTTACTTTTTGCTATTAAACGTGTCCAGTAAAAAAAATTTAAAAATCGAAAAATTTCATCATAAATTTAGGCCAAAATGTATTCTGCTACACGTGTTTGCTAAAAAATCCCAATACATGTAAATTAATTGGTTTACATGAAAGTTATAGCGTTTACAAATGGTATATATACTGGACTTTTTTTTTTTATATATATAGTAATGGCAGAGATCAGCAACTTATAGCGGGACTGACACTGGGGGGAACTGACTTGGTGTCACCAATACAGTGATCAGTGCTAATAAAAAGCACTGACACTGTATTAACGGCACTGGGCAGGAAGGGGTTAACATATGGGGCAATCAAAGGGTTACCAGTGTGCTGTTTTACCAAGCGTGCTGTGTGTGTGCGCTTCACTGTAAGTGTGCAGGAGCTGACAGGCGAGAGAAATGTTTTGTTTACAAACAGTTCTTTCCCCCCAAACCCCGTCGGAGATGCTCGCCAATCACCGGGACTTAGTAATTGGCGGCCGCGAATGGTGGCGCAGGTAGGGCTCGTGCATGCCCCCTACCCGGAAGTGCAAAATCACATGTACATATGCGATTTTGCGCACAGCTGCCGCCCTGTAGCCGTATATCTGCTATGGGGCGGCACTAAAGCAATTAAAAAAATCATTTAAGGCCTGAAGATTACACAAAACTCCAAAACATACGGTTTCTGAAATCAGAGACCCTAGAGAATAAAATAGCGGTAGTTCCAATTTATTATGTCACATGATATCACAAAGGTTTTCAGTACAAAATACACTTAAGTTAATTTTAGGGCACAAAAAGCAATAAATTATCCAATTTTTTGTAAAATATAAAAGACGAGGTTGCATCGAGTAAATAGATATCCAACATGACAAGCTAGTACCCTATATTTTCTATAGGTGACACTTTTAAAGCCCCTTATAGGTCATCTGGTGAGCCTTACAGAGGAGGTCTGGTGCTAGAATTATTGCTCTCATTCAGGCATGTGCAGCGTTATGTAACGTGTAGTGCAATCGTTTTCATGTGTAGGTGCCCCAGCACGTGCTTTTATGTTTGGCACAAGGAGAACATGCAAACTCCAGGCAGGTGGTGCTGTGGTTGGGATTTGAACCAGTAACCCTAGTACTGCCAGGTGGAAGTGCTAACCATTTAGCCCCTGTGCTGGCCTATGAATCAGTGTGCTGGGGGGAGAGGCAGGCTCTGCAGCTAATCCTTTCTCATTGAGATGAAACCAACTCTATGGAAGTTCCATGCAGCACAAAGAACACAGCAGTGACTGCCTCCTTCAGCCGCCCAGGAGGTGAATGTATGATGCACCTTTCTATGGGAACCAGCAGTTCTATTGGATGGGATGATACAGGTCCATGTGTATGAATGGGCCTTGGCCTCCCATGTCCCTGTCATTAGTTTTCCTTCTGTTTCTGGTTGGTCCTGAGCACTGCACATTGGGAACACCCAACAGAAGCTGCAGTTTTGGAGATGCTCTGACCCCGTGGTCCAGCCATTACAATGTGGCTCTCATTAGTCACTCAATCCTTCCATTTATTTACCCATTTTTCTGCACATTAACTTCAGGGACAACATGTTTACTTCCTGCCTAATATATCCCACCCATTGTCAGGTGCCATTGTTGTGAGATCATTCATATTGCTCACTTCACCTGTCAGTGGTCATGATGTTGGCCAAGCCGGTCTGTCCCCTCTCTGAGGAAGGTACGTACAGCAAGCCATGTCACCCCCGAGCCCTCCTCCACATGTACTGTGACCCTCCGGGCTACACACACACGATTACCTGGCTCCTCGGGACGGCTGGGCGTCCTTGCTGAAGGTGAGGGTGAGTCTCTTGAGTTGGCACACGTATCTGCCCACCCCATTGCGCAGGACACTCTGCAGGAAGCGGCTGGGGGTGCCTCGGGCTGTCATAGTTTTAGAGCGCCTCTGCTTCTCAGGGGTGACCTGGCAATAACTTACAGCATGTCACACCGCCGCCATGTTGTCTAATGGCAAATCACCGTTTCCGCCTCTCTAGGGCGCCGTAATAGAACGCGACAATTATTTCGTACGTCCTTTGCCTGCGTGCACGCTCCCGGCTCTCAGACCCGCACTGCGCATGTCCAGGTGTTAAGCTCGCGCTGGCGAGCACGTGTATTGGTCAGGTACCTATACCCAGAGCTGGGATATGTTATGACAATGTCTCTGATGCTGCAGTAATATTGTGGGGGTTTGTCAGTCACAAGAACACCTTTGTGGGGACAAATTCAGAGACATTTAAAAGTTGTATTGGTAATTATAGTGCATTTGCTGAATTAAGGCTCCATTCACCTTAATGGGACCAGTGTTCATATGAGGGTAGAGCAGTTCATTCATTTCAATGGGCACAGATACGCAGGTAAAGTCCCAGACCCTTACAAAAAAAAAAAATCGCCCTGCATAGAATTGCATGCAGCTGAGGTTGTTTTGCGTGTGGAAATCTCAAGCGTTTTGCTGATTGGTGGGAGTGCAATTAGGAATCACACATTGGTGCAGGTTGGAAATGCACACGATTTTGTGTCCCTAGCCTATGGAGGACCTTACAGGCTCAAACATCTGCCAACAGGAAAAAAAAAAAAAACTTCATCCCAGCTTCCATCCCCTTCCTATAGGCTCTCTGGGGCCATCCTTGGGTCTTCCTATGGGATTCCCAGAGAGAGCAGATGCTCCAGCTCCATGCTAGAGCCCATTCTGGAAGGATTTGGAAATGTCAGCCTTTTCAGGATCGTTCTAGAAGGCTCAGTGGCCACACTGACATCTAGGAAAACACATGAAGCTGGGATGTCAGCCAGGTATTGTTTCAATAAATGCTCTCAAGTTTAATTTCATTGCTTCTGGTTGTTGCATTTTTTGGGGGGAGGTTTAGGGTCCTCCTCAAATCCAGCCAAGAAAAAGGTATAAAAAGAATATAATAAAATTACATCCCGACTTCCAGTGCGCTCCCTTAGGCAAGGCTGGCATTGCTGGTCCTTCTAGTGGGTGTCACGGTCACCCGATCGCCACCCTCAACATGCGACAATCGCACGACTGCGACCAACAATAATACGTCACGACCGCGGCATCAGACCCCAGACCTTCTCACCAAACTCGTGACCAAAGGACCGGCTGATCTAAAACCGCGATGTGATGTGCGTAACAATGCTACACTCAGCTGCGCCCTGCACAACGATTGTCCAGCTAATGGAACACAACTGACGCACCGGCAGCCTGAATGCGCTTGTTACTGGGTCGGGTTAATTACGCAACTAACCCTTCACTGCCACCACCACGTTTTGTACAGAGAAAGGGGAAACTCTATCCAATATACACTGTAATGGTTGAACAGTTGCCTGTCCAATACGGTCACCGCAGGCCGATTGGGCAGAGGATTAAAACAAACACAGTAGCGTCTCTTCAAAAGGCAGGAATTCGTGAATTGCAAGTAAGCGCTTACAAACAGTTTAGCACTTTCAGAAAGAAAGATTTATTACTAAAAGAGTCAAACAGGTGCAATAAAATATTTGCAAAGAAAATGTAACTATATATATATATTTATATATAAAAACAGCATATCACAGCCAAGAGATAACAGGGAGAAGTTAAAAGGTTAAGTTACTTGCCATGTTAAGCCTTGGGGTAGCAGAGCGAAAGGTCTTTGATCTCCTGCTGTTACGATGTTAAAATTAGGAGATCTCTTTAGCTTATCCTCAGGCCTACAGCCTGTGCTTTTTTAAAGTCCCCCAGCAGGGGGGTGCCTTTGAGTAACTGGCCAATACTCTGTTTAGGGAGGGATCTCGGGCGAACTCTGAATTAAAACCAATATCTTCATAATCCATTATATGAAACGCAGGGGACAAACTGACTTGAGGAATGTTCATTTCATTCTGTCACCTTAAGCTCTTAGGTTTTATGAGGTTACAATCTCTTTCAATTCCTGGGAGAAGCTGCCTTATCTGTTTTATGATAGGTGAGCCTGCACAGGTTCTTGGGTCAGTGCTTCCCAATTCTCTGAGGAACACTGGCCTTATCATGACTTAGGTGAGGAAGGCTACACTTTCGCAGACTGCTCGGCACCGAACTGAGGATGCCTTAACCTGCTGTTGACCCATAACCATCACACACATATCTGTCACAGTGCCTCTCAGGAAGGGAGGGGGAAGGAGAATAAAGGATTGAGGAATACTTCTAATAAAAAAGGGGAACTCCGCATCCAACTCTGATGAGCAAGTTTGCTACAGTGGGCTTCTGGGAAGGCTGAGCATCCTAACTCCTAGGAGCACGTGTGATCCTACACAATGCTGGATTTTCTTCTCACAGGAGTTTGAACTCTCACATGGTCATCATCATCATCATAGGGTCACTGCACAACACAGACAGCACCCCCCGATGAACTTAGAAGATGGCGACAGCACCAGCTGTGCCACACCAAAAAGGCAGATCCCAAAAGAACACCACTACATTTCCAGGCATGTGAGCATGCTTTTGGGGAACAAACCAGCTATACAGGTAAGAGGGGAGGGAAGTTAGATTCTTCTAAATATAGAAACTGGAAGTCACACTTTTGGGTTATACTGCTGTCTGCAGGAAGACTGAACACTGGCAAACACAAATTCTGTAGCACAGTTTCAGGGTAACCCCTCCTACAGCCAGCATTTCTCAGTTTATTGCTAGAATCCTATGAGGATGGACATCTTTTTAGCTCTGTTATGAAAAGTCTAACCCAGGGGTCCTCAAACTACGGCCCGCGGGCCACATATGGCCTGCCGAGGACATTTATCTGGCCCGCCAGCAGGGGTGTATTTGCTGCGAGGAAGGGACACTAAGTACAGGGGCGGGCAGGGGGCTGCTGTATCTTACCTGGCTCTGTGCCCCAGTCCCACGACGATCCAGTCCAGGAAGCGCTGCTCCTTCATTCACTCAGGCCACTCCCTCACTCGATGTTCTCGCTGCCACTCGGCTCCGCCTCCTCACCGGTGATTGGGCGCCAGAACTGTAGCTCAGGAAAGGCACACAGGCGGCCAATCACCTGCGAGGAGGCGGAGCCGAGCGGCCCCGCAAACATCAAGTGAGGGAGAGGCCGAAGTGAAGGAGGACAGCTGACAGGTAAGTGTGCCGTACAGATGGTGCTGCTGCAACCAGGTATGCTGGCTACAGCAGCACCATGCTGGAACAGGGGTCAGCAAGTTTAAGTGTCATTGGTGTCAGTGGGAGGAATAGTGCCCCATCTTTGGTGTCACTGATAATAATGATGGGGCATTATTCTTCCCACTGACACCAATGATGGGGCACTATTCCTCCCCCCACTGACCCAACGATGGGGCACTATTCCTCCCCCTACTGACACCAACGATGGGGCACTATTCCTCCCCCCACTGACACCAACGATGGGGCACTATTCCTCCCCCCACTGACACCAACGATGGGGCACTATTCCTCCCCCCACTGACACCAACGATGGGGCACTATTCCACCCCCCACTGACACCAACGATGGAACAATATTCCTTTCCCCCCTTACACCAATGATGGGGTACTATTCCTCCCACTGACACCAATGTTGGGACACTACCCCCCCCCCCCCCCCCCACTGACAGGGCACTATCCCCCCCACTGACACCAATGATGTACTATTCCTCCCACTGACACCAAAGATGGGGCACTATTCTTCCCACTGACACCAATGATGGGACACTATTCCTCCCACTGACACCAATGTTGGGACACTATCCCCTTCCCCCAATGATGGGGCACTATTCCCCCCCCCACACTGACACCAACGATGGGGCACTATTCTTCCATCCACTGACACTAATGATGGGGCACTATTCCTCCCCCCACTGACACCAACAATGGGGCACTATTCCTCCCCCCACTGACACTAATGATGGGGCACTATTCCTCCCACTGACACCAATGATGGGGCACTATTCCTCCCACTGACACCAATGATGGGGCACGATTCTTCCCACTGACACAAATGATGGGGCACTATTCCTCCCACTGACACAAATGATGGGGCACTATTCCTCCCACTGACACTAATGATGGGGCACTATTCCTCCCACTGACACCAATGATGGGGCACGATTCTTCCCACTGACACAAATGATGGGGCACTATTCCTCCCACTGCCACCAATGATGGGGCACGTTTCTTCCCACTGACACCAATGATGGGGCACGTTTCTTCCCACTGACACCAATGATGGGGCACTATTCCTCCCACTGACACTAATAATGGGGCACTATTTCTCCCACTGACACCAATGATGGGTCACTAATTTGCTCCATAAGACACACTTGGGGAGAAATGTCTGTGCGTCTTATGGAGCGGCCGGCCCAGTATTCCCGCTGTATGTCCACAGTCTCTGGTCATCTCCTGTACTGTGTCCGCATTTGTTCATAGTTTTTTTTTTAAACTATAGTCCGGCCCTCCAACGGTCTGAGGGACAGTGAACTGGCCCCGTTTAAAAAGTTTGAGGACCCCTGGTCTAACCTAATGTTGTTTTCCCAATCAGGATTCTTTGCTACACCACTTCTTGAGCTGTACCCAGATTCCACTGTATTGGATGCTGTAGGGCTAGGCTGGAAGGGACCTTCCAGCACTGGGTTGCGCATCAACCTTATTTTGTAACATGTTAACCACAGAACTTCCAAGTCCTTGCCCTTTCTCCAAAGACTCACTCTGCAAGTTGACAAATTAGGCTGAGCTCCGGGAGCTATAGCACATTGCTTGTACTGCTGAGCACGTTTGAATTTCTCACTTTCCACTGGTTTTACTGCTGAAGGGTTTAAACACTGAAGGACTAAGACTAAGAACTATGAGTGTCACACATTCCCTTTCCATCATTCAACAGCAAGGAAGCTTGCTTCTGATTTACAAATGGCCACATGAAACTTTGATCTCAAGGCTCTG